TCTGAGATCATCAGGCTTTTTTGCACCGCATTCATCAGCTAGTCTTTTCAGACATTGATGTCCTCTGTAATATGTCATGCAGTTTGGTACAGCAAAAAGGTATTTGTTTTCTTCAGACACACCACATTCCTTTCTTTTAGCAATAATCAAATTGAGTGAACCGGTCATGTGTGGAGTATACAACACTGCCACCTTTCTCCCTCATTTTCCTTTAATTTCAACTCGGCTGAAATATCTGCATAGCTTCTGTTCATAAGCTGACAGTCCTGTTGCTTCTTGTGTATGTGTGTGTGTGTGTGTGTCTGTCTGTCTGTCTGTCTGTCTGATTGCACTGAAGAAAATGACTCGATTTCATTTTTGATACTTCTCCAATCCGTTTTACTTCTCCAATCCGTTTTCTGTTGAATAGAACAATCTTGGTCAATGTAGTATGTGGTAATCTGGAATAATTCTGAACTGTTGAAGCATTTCTTAGTGCTGCAGTTGCGAACTTGGCTGTTTTGTCAAGGTGTTCGTTAAGCTTTATAATGTATTCTTTAAGTGGCAGATTGTCTGGTTTGTTGTATTTCAGATCACTAATTGTACCACAAGCACAGTCTGATATAGATACTACGCCCATTTTGCCTGATAAAGTTTCTGGAATGCTTCAGAGGATTTTACGAGTTCCTTGTCTCCAGCCATAAGAGCACGGCAACCTATAATGTCACTGATTTTTAACGGTGAATTTCCTATTTTCAAGGCAAGACTTGGAGTTTTGAACTTATTCTTACTTTTGGAAAATTCCGCCATCTCCTTTACTGGCTCGTTTACAATCATAAAGTTCTTTGGTTTTATTGCATCCCCTAATGTCTCGATTGAACTTATTTCACGTAAAGACAACAGGAATCGTCCTAGCTGCCGAATTTTTTGACGAATCTAGTCATGTTTTTATGGATCATGACAGTGTTTATTGTAAAGTGACTCTAAAAAATGCAGCAGGCAATGTTCGTTGTGAACAGCAGATGAAGTTTCATCGTCATGCATACGACTAAGCATTTTTAGCAGTCCATCTTCAGAGGTTGCACTTGCGGATTTTACCAGTTCTGTGAGACAAAGTACTCGCTTTCTGCCACAATGGTCACTCTTCTCTACGTTTACATCATCAAGATGGTGTCGAGCATGGCCACCATGTTCCAAGCTCCCAGCAAACTTTGTTGTGTTTTGTGTGTTTTACTTGTATTTTTGTCGTTTTTTGCGCTGTATGTACACACTCTCATTACCTACGACAGACATACACTTCGGTAAATTGGCTTCCTCGTTGCACATCGAAGACCAGACTTCTTTATCGACGCTCTGTTTACAAACACAGCAACAGAGCCCTTTGTCTGGGTAACACAACCGAAGTGACGAAGGAAATGCAGCCGGAAAAGATGAAAGAGAGCCGGCGTCCTCGTTAGACTGAGACGCTGTGAATTTTGACCTCCGCTCCCCACCATTCTGCTGGCTAACGTTTAGTCACTGGACAACAAACTTTGCAAGCTACGGGCATGCATTTCCTTCCAACAGGAAACAAGAAACTGCTGCATTATCTGCTTTACAGAAACCTGGATATCTGCGGAGGTACCAAACAGCTGTTGAACTTTCGGGGTTCAGGCTTCATTACTTCGTCCACACTGATTCTCAACACTGGTGCTCCACAATACGCTTATTGCACGTGGCCGCCATTTCAAAGAACCAAAGCGAAGCTGCGGTGGGAAGAAACCCTGAAGTATAGGACGAGCACTGTAAAAATTGCAGTAATATGCCGTGTACTACAAACCTCCAGCTGTTGCAGAGATTTCAAAATGCAGAAAATGGTGTAACCATCACTTTAATATTATTTAGTAAGTTTATTTTAAACAATTAAAAGCAATTTAGCATCAAACAACATCACAATCTCAGTGATACGCTTAAGTGTCCTCCTTGGCTTCTCATGGCACTAGTTAAACACCATGAGGACGCTTTACTGCTTCAGCCTATGTAACCAGGTGAGTGATAAAACACTGCAGTCCTCTGTAGCACACCCTCGTGTTGTCTGTGATAGTGTTGTTCTGGTACGGAAGTTTTAAACCCAGCTATTTCCCCGCTAACATGGAAGCGCTGCTGAGCGCGGTCCTGACATGACTGATCTTCACAGCTTCGCGCTTCCGTCTCCGTGTAAATATTTGCACTATTTGTATTTTGTACTGTCTTGAGCTAGCACCTAAGCTTTTCACTCATCATAGCACACGTGCTGATGATGATATGACAATAAAAGTGATTTGAATTGCTATAACCCTCTTCAAAAGTGAAATTGTACCTGTTGCACATTTAATAAGCCCAGTAGTGTAGAAAAATACAGTAATTGACTCAATGCAACAGCCCTGGTCTTTATCCCACTCTTTCTCAGTTTACAGGACTAGACTATATAGACCTAGGCCTAATGATTTTATAGGCTATTGAACTAATTCTCTCCCCATCACAGAAAAAAATACAGTTTAATGTTCAATCAATTTGGGTTATGGAGATAACTGGCAACGTTTCACTACCCGCTACTTATGTGTTATAAATACCTGCACACCAGTATAAGAATGACATTAAATCTTGCCTAAAATAAAAGATAATTTAAGTTTATTCAACAAATTATATATTTGTACATGAAAGCAGCACAATTCTCCCCAGTTCACGGATTTGTTTTACAAAATAGGTTGGAATGATTTAAAATCCTGGATATCAAACATGTTTGCTATGATCGAGGAGACTTCGTTTTGTGTTCAAGATTCACATTACCAGATTATCTGCGCTGAGAATCAGAACCGATCAAAGTCCTCGACAAGAATTCATCTCTGATTATCGGGAGATGAAAATAAATTAGGCTAAAACTCCTTTGGTCTGAGCCCGGCTTTAGATAGTTAGCTAGATGTCTTGTCTGTGGCAGGTGTTTCTTTTTCAGGTAAGGGACACACAACTGGCAGAAGAAGGAAACCCACCAGAGCATTGGTGAAGCTTTATCTGAACACTGGAGAACAGCTTGTGCATTACTGGAGTTCAACAAGCATGTAGAGCTCTGTTAGTCTTGTCTAGAGATAAATATGACCCCCCCCCCCCCCCCCCTTATATTTTACACTTTATAAATGAACTTTCTATTATGCCATCATCACTTAGTACTTTGTCAAATTATAAAGCCACTAAAGTAGCTTTTTCAGTGAATTCTGTACCCTATAGCCCCTTCACAACCATTTGAATCTTTATATTGTATATACTTTTATCATTTAATTTATATATATATATATATATATATATATATATATATATATATATGTATGTGTGTGTGTGTGTGTATATATTGTTTTAGCGTCAAATACAATTGTCATTACCACATGCTGCTTTTTTCTATATTTGTTTCTGCCTATTGTTGAAATTGTAGTACTTCATGTTTGTTTATGCATGTAAGGCCTACTTTGTATGTGAATTTATTTTAAACATTTAATAAAAAAAAAAAAACAATCATAAAAATATTATATAGTATATAATCCCAAGACGAGGCAGTGGCGCAGTAGGTGGTGCCACTGCGTCGTCACTGGTTCGAACCTTGGTTCAGTTGGCGTTTATGTGTGGAGTTTGCATGTTCTCCCTGCCTTCGCGTGGGTTTCATCCTGGTGCTCCGGTTTCCCCCACAGTCCAAAGACATGGGGTACAGGTGAATTGGGTAGGCTGAATTGTCCATAGTGTATGAATGTGTGTGTTGATGTTTCCCAGGGATGGGTTGCAGCTGGAGGGGCATCCGCTGTGTAAAAACTTGCTGGATAAATTGGTGGTTCATTCCGCTGTGGAAACCCCGGATTAATAAAGGGACTAAGCTGACAAGAAAATGAATAAATGAATATAATCCCAAATCCTATTTTTGAAAATGTTGGTGGTATAGAGTTTCTTTTGAAGTGTGACTTTGAGATTAATAAACTCATATTAGGCTGTCTACACACACACATACACACACCACTTACAGACAGTACACAATATAATCAGTGCACATGAACAGTACAATATGGATTGCATATTAACAGATAGCTGAAGTGCTTCAGTAGTCTGTTGAGTACTGGAATTAGCATGTAAGCTAACAAATCACTCATGTTCTCATTCACAATAGCGACACTGGGTTTCCCATAAACAGATTTATTTTTGGTAATGTGGGAATTTTCACATGAACATCTCTTTAAAGGAAACTAGTTGTCTACAGAAAGTTTGTCTTCATTAAGAAAACTTTTTCCTTTTTTAAATCAGTCCATCAAAAATCAATGTGTAGTGTTTTGAAACCAAAGTATTTATTACCCACAACACATCAAGATTTTATCAAGTCAAAATCTCATAATCTGACACAAATCTGATGACTTTTTGTCGTTTAAAGAGGTCTTTAAGGAGTCTGCATCAGTCAGTCACTGTCATTGCTTTATCCTAAGTTCACACCGCATGAGTTTAGCCAGAATTTATTTGCTAACAAGTTTTGTGAAATTGCAGACGAAAGCCCACAACTGGAGGCAAATTGGTTTGTTCACACGAGTGACAATCAAATGGTGTGAATTATCAAAAAAAAAAACAGTCTAAGGGTGTAGGACAGTTTCTTCTTCCTAATCTTTCTAATTCTCTTTTCAGTGCCGACCATTTGATGTAAGTGTGCAATGTGCAAAAATATGGTTATCGGTTCATAATAAAGTTGAAACACATATTGAGTTATTTTGCTTTTTTGTAGCCCGGCAGCAACTCTTACAACCTGGTCCTGGGCTGTGACCCCTGATCTACACTACAAAACAGTTACTGAAAATCTTCACCACTTTTCAGTTATTGAGTTTAAATCTTCAGGTTTTTAAAGGGTTTCATTATCAGTAATTTGATGTTGGTATTTGGTATTCAAGAGTTCATACTTGTTTGGCATGCTGTCCGGGGAGAGAGCCCTAAGCTCTGCTGGACAAGGCCTCATTTTGAGCACTCTGCTCTCCATTGTGAATCTTCATGTGAGTTCTCATGTGGGCTTCAAGGTTGCTATTTTGCTTAAAACTCTTTCCACACAGAATGCAAGAGTAAGGCCTCTCCCCAGTGTGAATTCTCATGTGCACTGCCAAGTTTCCTGATTGAAAGAAGCTTTTTCCACACTGTTGGCATGCGTACGGCCTCTCTCCAGTGTGAATTCTCATGTGCGCTGCAAAGTTTCCAGTAGTATAGAAGCTTTTTCCACACTGTTGGCATGTGTAGCACCTCTCTCCAGTGTGAGTTCTCATGTGGACTGTAAGGGTGCCATTTTGCTTAAAACTCTTTCCACACTGAGAACAAGAGTAAGGCTTTTCCCCAGTGTGAATTCTCATGTGCGCTGCAAAGGTTCCACTAGTATAGAAGCTTTTTCCACACTGTTGGCACGTGTACGGCCTCTCTCCAGTGTGAATTCTCCTGTGAAGTGCAAAGTTTCCTGCATGATTGAAGCTTTGTCCACACTGTTGGCATGTGTACGGCTTCTCTCCAGTGTGAATTCTCATGTGGGTTTTAAAGCTTCGTTTTTGACCAAAACTCTTTCCACACTGTTCGCAAGTGTAAGGTTTCTCCTTAGTGTGAACTCTCATGTAAACATCAAAGTTTGACTTTTGACAGACACTCTTTCTACACTGTTTACTGCTGAAATTACACTCAGATTTGGATTTCTGAGGTCTTCTGCATGAAGTCTTTTTAGTCAGTGTGGGTTTTTCATCAGCTGTTATTTCTTGGTGTTGCTCTTCCATTTTATTCCATTGATGAGTCTCTTCTTTCAGCACCATCAGGTCTTAAAACAAAGAAAAGTGAACTTTAGTATGAAGGCACAAAGCAACAAGCATGAAATTGATGTTTCACCCAAAAATTAAAACAACCTAACCATTTACTCTCCATCATGTGGTTTTAATCATTTCCTTTCTTCTGGAACACAAAGTAAGCCAGCGTTATTTACAATCCTTTTTTTCAGCAAAATCAAGAAACTCAAAGATTTAAAACCCCACGAGGGAGAGTAAATGGTGAAGCTATTATCATTTCTGTGTTAACTATCCCTTTAAAGGTTTCCTATTATGAACCTTTTTTTACAAGATGTGAAATAAGTCTTTGGTTTTCCCAGAATATGTCTGAAGTTTCGGCTCAAAATCAGATCATATACCTTGCAGAATATATAATTTTGGGGGTCAGAGGAAAACCAAGCTCTTTTTGTGCCTCTGGCTTTAAATGCAAATGATCAAATGCACTCGCTCTAGATTACTTCTGTTGTGCTTCCTCGTGTGTCTTCCACTCAACATTTTTACCTTGCTTGGAAGACCCGATTGAGACAAATCCTGCATGTTCATAGCAAGTACTCATAGTTCATGCTCATATTAGTGAGTTTGCATTATTGTATATCATCCAGTGTTTAAAATATATGCCAGATAAGTTGGTGGTTCATTCAAAGAATGAATGAACTTGTGCAAATACTTAATGCCATTTTTGCTGTAAACTGGAGTGATGAGGAGATGGCAAGATGACATACTTTGCTACTTGTTTTCATTCATTTGTACTTTTGTCTTTGTTTTCTTGTCTTTGTGCATGTCCTGAGGCTTAGCTGAAGTCCTACATGATGACATTTTATACCCGACAAGATGCAGAAATGCTATCTAAAAAGGTGACCGGCCGTTTGTCCAATCAGGGACAGTGGCAACGTAAATATACAAATAATAATGTTAACCCAGGGTTTGCAAATGTGAACTGTCTGTTAATGAACACCCAGGATTATATTTTAACCCCAGGTAAAGCATGAGCAGTATGGAACATGATTACAGATAACTCAGGATTCTGTTCATCCAGGGTTAGAATGACCCAGGGTTAACAATTTCAAGTGTGAAAAGCCCTAAGAATACTCTGCATCAGCTCTCTGGATAACCAGAGTACAATGACAAACAGCGACAATTGTCAATCATGTCATAGCAGTGACCTGGGGCCCGTTTTAGAAAGGAGGTTAATTAAAAACTATTAACTAAAACATTTAATTAATTAAGAGGTTAATTAAAAAAATATTTTAACCTTGAAATGAAAGAAACTCTGGGTTTTCAGTTTCAAAATGGCAGGTTTGTCAAACTGGAGAAATCAGGGTAAGTCAAGCCTGTTTCTGAAAGAGAGGTAACTTTAACTCAGAGTCAGTTACTGTGGTCACTTACTCTGTGAACCTAACCTGGTCAGGAGCAGGTTTTATTCTCTGAACTCTGAGTTTCTGTTGGTCTCCTCCTCTTTTTTTTTCTAAAGATGAAGCGGTATTTCTTGCCTTAGCCTTACCTTTCCACCCATCTAAAAATGTGCATAACTGAGCAGGATAAACTTTTATTTGATAGAATCGATGCGGCCAAAAAAAAACTACAATGAAAAAAAAACTATTATACATTAATACTTAACCTTTACAGTATTATTGTATAGCATCTCATGTAGCAGTATGTGAAACCCCTGTAATCCACTGTATTTGGAAGGTATGTCGGTTGATTGTGCTCTGTTTTATAATGGATTGCACTGCGGCTTGAGTGTCTCGCTCTTGACATGCTGGATGCTGCTGTTTTGTTTCTAGTTTTGTTTTGTTTTCAGTTGTTATGTTTCTAGTTCTGTTGTTTCTAGTTTTGTTTTGTTCTATTTGTGTTTTTGAGTTGTTTCTTTGATTTTTTTTGTTTTGCTGCTTTTGTATCAGTGTTTTGCTTTTTGCATATTTGTTCTCTTTGATCTTTGTTTCTTTTGCATATTTACAAAAATAGGAAATGTAAAATAAGTGTGACTGCTTTGCTTTGCTTTAATTGCTGCATTTGTGGTGCTTTGTCCTGTTCTAATATTACGACCTTGTGCTTTACACTGTGATTAGCTGTGGCCTGTCACCTCCGTGCCCTTGAGTGGCTGGTAGCCGCTCTCAGGTAGTCTCTCATTTTGATGCTTCTGTGAGCCCATTTAATATATGTGCTTGTTGTATTTCCTTAATGTTTTGACATTTTCTAATTGTGGTTTTGCTTCTTTTCCTAGGAGCTGGGGTGTCTAGTACAGGCAGTCTGGCCACTGTGTGGCATGACTATTTTTCTATTAATTAGTCTTTTGCCCACTTGTTTGCATTGAAGTTCACTGTGTGGTGTTTTAAATCAAAGTGTGCAAGTGTGAATCAGTGGGTCATTTTTGGGCCCAGTGCCTAGCCTGCCCAACTGTGGTAAGCCTCAGCTCCTCTGGTTGGATGAGGATTTATCTTTTTTTGTAATTGCCTCCACTAGTGCCTTTTTAAAAAGAGTGCATGTGCCTGTCTTTTAATATTTGTGGTCCAAAGATAATTGAATTGTAATAAAAGAAACCCTATTTTTCTATATCCACGTCTCATTGTCTTTGCTAGAAGTATGAACCTGTATTTTATGTCCCAGCAAATGTACTGGGTGTCGTAGTAGAGCTCTAATTGCAATAGTTTGTGTTAATTTGGCTTTAGTGTGCCAGTTATTGTATTGGTCTTGCGACCAACAAAAAGCCTTATCCCCCTGCGCGCCACATATATTTTAAATGTCAGGGTAAAAAAACAAAACAAACCAAAAAATTCCCTTAGAACTAAAAAATTTTATTTGAGAAACTTTTAAAGTATTTTGGAGCAGTAAACATGTCAGGCAAGATTATTCTGATGAATCATTGACAGTGTTGGGGAGTAACTAGTTACATGTAACGCCGTTACGTAATTTAATTACAAAATAAAAGTAACAGTAATTAGTTACAGTTACTAAAAAAAATATGTAATTAAATTACAGTTACTTTTGAAAATGTTAAAAATTACAAATGGGGTTACATCTAATATTTTTCTTTAAATCTCTGTGATATGTTGAATAATATTAATCTATTGCTTTGCCTGTTTTTGATATGCACGATGGCTTCTGCTAAGGCCATTTATTCAACTGCTGATGCTTTTGATTTGCGGCGCAACCACGGGCGTAAATCACGGGGGGAACATGTTCATTGTCCTCCTCACCAAATAAAATATATAAATATATATATATATATATATAGAAGCACAGTTGAATGAGAGGCCCGTGGAGAGAAAGCCTTCAGCTCTGGGTCAGCATCACTGTTGCAGATGCATCTTTCAACGCCTTATAAACACATTGACAATAAATTAATTAGCTAAGCAAACAAAGTGCTGTACTGCAGGCTACTCCAACATAAACACATTGCTTTGCTTCTAATTACTCAAATGATCATGCTTACTAATTTGAAAGTTGACAAATATAAAAGAAAAACAAGTTGTCTTACCATGTACAATTCTCATTTTCATCAAGCTGCATCTCCGACTAATCCAGGAGCATGTATTTCACCATTTTTACATCAGCTTTTGGTCTTATTGGATTCATTCCATTTTACACACAAATCAACCAAAATAGCAATGGGAACTTGTGAACCTGATATGCTGATATTAATGCAATAATATACTACGATGATGATAATTTTCACCAAAACTAACAACCAGTGCTACTCTGCTTCACTGTTAACAGCACGCGCCTGTCAGATGAGTCCCCTTTCTGATGTCACCTGGGTGGTTTAAAAAAAAAAAGCGGATTTTCTGGAAGTGGGAAAACAGACTCTTTTTTTTCATATTTGTGCCCCTGCGCTTCGTACAACATTTTTATATGGTATTTTATGGTATTATAGAGTATTTTCACAAACAATTCTACCTTTTTTAAAATAGTTTTTTAACCTACAATATGCTCTTTAATATTTGCTCTTTATATGAGAAATAGGCTATAATGTTTAAGCGGGCCTAAATGCATCTCCCGAATATCCTACTCAGTGATGCTGAACTGTTTGCCTTCTTTAAGACTTTCTATTGTATCAATTAGGCTAAAACTGCATGAAATGATATAAAAGAGAAGTGCGTTTGGTAATGCGCACTGAGATGTGTGATGCACACAAATCTGTGCTCTATTCCGAATTAGCTTCTGTTTCATCTAATGCAGCTTTAATGGTTTAAAACTATTACTTGTGTGTAGAAGTTTAATAAATTAATTTAATCTATTTTGGAATAAGGCTGTAACATAAAAAAATAAACAAAAAATTGAAAAATTGAAGCGCTATGAATACTTTCAAGATGCACTGTACAAAACTTACAGTACTTTTCAAAGTATTAGAAAAGGTTTTATAAAACTACAGTCTTTTTTTAGGTCTACATGGATTTCAAGAAGTGTTCCAATGTGGTTGTGGCAGTAATGCACCTTCCAAGTTGAGTTCCTGAAAGGCAATAAACCAGGAAGAAGAAGAAAAGGAAGAAGAACTGAAAGAGTCAAAGAGCTCAGATTGTGTTTCTGCTGCACAAGAGCTTCTGTACTTCTGCATGTAAGTTTGATACTTCTACCATTATGTTTATTTGTGGAAATGATGAAGGGATTTTAAACGTGTAAGAGTGATTTGATTTAAATGTCTGTCTGATCCTGATGCTCAAAGCCTCAAACACTGTTTAATCATGGTGTAAAAACATGGTCATTTCAACACTGTGTCTGAACACTTTATTTCTTAATGCTATGAAAGTGTTTTTAATCATTAAAATCATGCTCACTCGATAAATCAGCACAAAATATGACTTTAAATGTACAGTTATGAAATTGAAAGAGAAGTTAAACTAGCCCTAACAGTTAAAAAGGAAGAAAAACTGCTGATGTTCCTTAAAATGTATTTGTCAGCAGACGTTTTTACTGCCAACTAACAAACTAAATATATAAACGAGTAATTGGCTTAACCTGATCTTATCTTAATAAACTATACATATATCATACATCAAATGTGAAATATGAGGTGTCAGAGGTCTGTATAGATCCGTGTAACGCTTTGCAGTGCTTTGTTCAATCCACACCGTCAAAATTAAACAAATGAAAAATGCATTTCTAACTTCCATTTTCCATTTTTCTAAGTACTTCAACAACGGATAATTGTCACTC